GCGCCCACAACCGCTCCGGGCCCACGGCGCCGCCGCCGCCGCCGCTCGGGAGCCGGCAGCTGCCGCCCGGAGAGCTGCTCTCGCAGCAGTGGGCCGTGGGCATGAGCCTGCTCATGGCCCTCGTGGTGCTGCTCATCGTGGTGGGCAACGTGCTGGTGATCGCGGCCATCGGGCGCACGCAGCGGCTGCAGACGCTCACCAACCTCTTCATCACCTCGCTGGCCTGCGCCGACCTCGTCATGGGGCTGCTGGTGGTGCCCTTCGGGGCCACGCTGGTTGTGCGCGGCACCTGGCTCTGGGGCTCCTTCCTCTGCGAGTGCTGGACCTCCCTGGACGTGCTCTGCGTGACGGCCAGCATCGAGACGCTGTGCGTCATTGCCATCGACCGCTACCTGGCCATCACCTCGCCGTTCCGCTACCAGAGCCTCATGACCAAGGGCCGCGCCAAGGGCATCATCTGCACCGTGTGGGCCATCTCGGCCCTGGTCTCCTTCCTGCCCATCATGATGCACTGGTGGCGGGATGAGGACCCCCAGGCGCTGGAGTGCTACCAGGACCCGGGCTGCTGCGACTTTGTCACCAACAGGGCTTACGCCATCGCCTCCTCCATCATTTCCTTCTACATCCCCCTCCTCATAATGATCTTCGTCTACATTCGGGTGTACCGGGAGGCCAAGGAGCAGATCAGGAAGATCGATAGGTGCGAGGGCCGCTTCTACGGGAGCCACGAGCAGCAGCAGCCGCCCCCACAGCCGCCGCCCCAGCACCAGCCCATCCTGGGCAACGGCCGAGCCAGCAAGCGCAAGACCTCCCGCATCATGGCCATGAAGGAGCAGAAAGCCCTGAAGACCCTGGGCATCATCATGGGGGTCTTCACCCTCTGCTGGCTCCCCTTCTTCCTGGTCAACATCGTCAACGTCTTCAACAGGGACCTGGTGCCCGACTGGCTGTTCGTCTTCTTCAACTGGCTGGGCTACGCCAACTCCGCGTTCAACCCCATCATCTACTGCCGCAGCCCCGACTTCCGCAAGGCCTTCAAGCGGCTGCTCTGCTGTCCCCGGCGCGGCGGCCGGCGGCTGCGTGCCGGCCCTGGGGACCTCGCCGGCCTCCCGGGGGGGCTCGTCAGCACCTTGGGCTCCCCCGAGCGCGGCCTCGGCGGCGCCTGGTCCGACTGCAACGGGGGCGCGCGGGGCGGTAGCGAGTCCAGCCTGGAGGAGAGAAATAGCAAAACGTCCAATTCGGAGTCCAAGGTATAGGCGGGGGCGGGAGGCCAGTGGAGCCGCGGGGCTGCTGCCCGCGGTCCCGCACGCGCGCCGTGCACCGCATCCGCAGCCGGAGCCGTCGGGAGGCAAGCGGGAGGACCAAGCGCGACCGGAGGCCGCCGCGTCGTGCAGGAGCAGGAGCCTTCGCTGGGGTGGCTGCAGGGGAGCGCGGAACGCCCCGGCCAGCAAGGGCTCCCCGGAGGCAGCGTCGGGGCTGTTCCCGGCCTCGCTGGGGACGCCCGAGGTGCCGGCTTCCCCTCGGAGCGCCGCAGGGGAAGCCGCGCACACAGCAAGAGCCAGCCGGGATTTTTGGCCAAGCTGCCCGCAGAGGCTTCCTGCAGAGCGGCTGCGGGGCTCCCGGCAGCCCGGCCCGCCACGCGCGTCCCACGCGAGTGCCCAGCGCGCGGGCTGCCAGCGGCGGAGGAGTTAACAGCCGGGAACGCAGGTAGATTTCGCAGAGTTAACAGCCGGGAACGCAGGTAGATTTTGCAGAGCGCCGGTGGGGGAAACGCTCCCCGCTTTTCCCCTCCTCAGCAGCAACCGGTGAATTTTTTGTCCTTATCTTCTCTGGCCAGACAATAGCGGTCGGGCTGAGAAACTTCTACCTCAAGCTGTGCATATTGTACAGGGGAATAAACGGAGCGTGTTTATATTAAACAGCTTATTTATGTATCACTCGTAGTATTTTATAAAAGAGGTGGGGGGGCCAGCAAGCCTTCTCCCGTTTGTTCGTTGTCGTTAGAGATGAGCAGGGGGGATAAATAATCCCATCTGCAACCAAAATTTACTGCACATGTAAAAAGAAGTGAGGACAAAGCTGAGTTTTTTGCACAGTGTTAAGAGCTGTAAGGTTATCTGGAGATGTTACTTGCACACGCATATGCAGAACAAACTAAAAATGAAACCGAGGTTTAAATAACATCCGACCTGAAAGTGACTTCTGTTTTTGCCTGATCCACTATAGTTTTATTGAGAGTGACTTTTTATATTATTTTATGAAGGTACTGTAAATATATCCGTATTATAAATTAAAATATCTTAAGGGACTTTTATTATTTTTATCTCCAAGTGCCCACGTGAACCTGCTGTTCCTTTAGCACTCGTGTGTCATTTCCAGTTTCCTCCGTGTGTGTTTTATATCATATTTATACTCTGGTGCAATTTACTACTGTGTTAAGTAATTGGTCTATGTGCAATAAATACCATTGCAGCACAAGCGAGCGTGTCTCTATAGGTTTCCAAACAATACCTGTCTGTAATGGGAAGAACACATTTGTTTTTCTCAAAAGATGGCTCCGTTTTCCAATACGACTCTACCTAATGGCTTTTCCTGACACAGTGCTGTAAAAAACGTGTTTCGTACCGAATAAGGTTGTGTTCCTGTGGCACTGAGGTCCGCCGACTTCCCTTAAAATTAATGGCTGAAGACAAGGTGTTTCCAGTCTGATAATGAATATACTAATTTTCTGTAACTATTCCATACAGGGATATATTCCTCTCTTTGTAAAGTGTGTAAGAGTGGGAGTCCGGAGGACATGAGCATGTTTAAGGATATGGAGCGGCTTCATGATGCTTAGTGTGAGAGCTGAAAATGATCTTGAGTAGAAAGATGCATCGTTTGTGGGTCACAAAGTTAATGATAAAGGGAAGTTTTGAGCTCTGCAGTTGCCGCCTGTTCCTGCAGGGTCCTGTGGTGGTAACTGAGTTTAACAGAGCTGGTGCCCCCATTGAGGGGCCAAACAGAAGATGTGTGAATAGTCCGGCAGATTTGGGTTCCTGGTGCACACCTTGAATAAAACCAGAGACTGGCATGTGAACCAGACTCTCTTCCTTTCCTGCTTTATGAAGGCACACTGGATTTTTGTAGTTTCATAAACTATTGCTGCAATGAATACAGGGCAGGTAGAGCAACCAAAAGGTGGACCTTGTAAAACAGTGACCTCCTAATGTCACTGCAGAATAAAAGTGAGGTCATTTTTAGCTTTATTACACTCAGAGGTTTAGCTAAATTAGAAAGTAGCTCCTAGGAAGAATATTTCTCCAAGTGAGTTGCAAGTGGGGAGCAGCCATAGGTTCATTTTGGAAAGCTTCTGTTTATTTTTGTCTGTTGTTTTAAAAGTTAAGGAGTTTGCTTTTAGGAGTTTTCAGTACATGTTATGCAGGGACAAAATAAAGGGATGTTTTTGCATTACTTTAGTTGGGGCTAGGATGTGAGCTGCAGTTGATAAGTTTCTCACTGGTTAAACGGGCTCTTCAAAGTGCCAGGGTGAAGCCAGATAGTCCCTAAATTGTGTTCTGATACCTTACAATTTCTTTTATCCCGCGGGTCAGGTTTCCTCTGTGCTTCCAGCAAAGTCAACAGGACTCTAATGAGTCTAACGAGACCCTGACGACGCGGGAGGGCTGCTCGCACGAGTCACCTCAGGAAGGACACGGAAGCTGGGAACACCAAGGGCCTTCCCGCGTGTGCCTGGACTGCAGGAGCCAGCGCCGCCCCGGCCCCACCGCAGCCGCCCGGGAGCTGCCGGTGGCAGCAGCAAAGGCAGGTGCAGTCACCAGTGACCACACTGGTGTCTCATCCATGTGAGGGACGTCGCTCTTAATGTCACAAATTGTCTCCTGGACTTAATTTTAACCTTCTATGTGTTCCCACTGGAATCAATGAGGGCTCATTCATGTCCCTAGACTTAACAGGTGAGGAAATCCTTGGCTCAGCAGGGACGCTGGAGGGGAAATTGAGGGCCAGAACTTGCCCAGCTTATCCTGCCAACTAACTGCGCGGGGCCATGCTTCCCCTCCATGATCCTCAGAGAGAGATAAAGGTCGAGTGAACTTTGCCAGTGAACTGCTGGAGCAGTGAACTGCTCAGGACCTGTCTGCCGTTGGGTTTTGGCCAGCGCATGACCACAGCGCAGCGTGGAGGTCGGCGCGCACAGTCCCGCATGGCGGCTGCCTGTGTGTCTGAGGGTGGCACAGTGGCCTCGCGGATGAAGCAGGACATGTGGCACCCATGTGTGTGAGCGAGGAGGGTATTGGCGAGCCGTCCCTCCCGGATCACGCTCAGAACAGGCTGTTCTGAGCGGTGAAGAAGTATATGCTGAAAAGAGTTACAGGCAGCCGAAGCGCTCTGGAGGCAGTGAGTCAGGCATCCAGGATGAATTTTTTTTTTTTTTTTTTTTTTTTTTTGAAGAAAACCAGACATGGATTAATGATTGGAGCTGCGAGGCAGAAAGGATAGGTGGGAGACATGCAGCTATACACGTACGTGCCCAGAGTTACAGCAAAGAGCCGCAGACCTGCGGGGAAGGGAGAAACAGGTAAAAGAGAGATCTGGTATGAGAAAGTGTCCCGTGTCTGTCGGGATGGAAACTGGCAGCGCTGCCTCAGGCTGCTCCATGTAAGAAGTTCTCAAAGGCGCCTGTCACGCTCTGAGCAGCAGTGACCCAGCACTCGTGGAAAGAAGGCTGCCTTTCTGTCCATGTTTGAATGTATCGGATGGAAGGCATGACTGCATTTCTTGTGCATTCAGTGGGGATAGAGTTTTAGAAGCCTAAATACAGCTTATAGAGAATAAAATCAAAAATACCCGCGCGTCACTAAGAGTTAAGCACAAAGGCACTTGAAAAATCCTAATATTTTGACTGTGACCTTAGTGACAAAATGTAGATTTTTATCAACCAAAAACTGAGTAATTACTCCACAATGAGTGTAACTAATCAAATTATGTGCAATACGAGTGGCTTTAAATTATGATAAGTAGATCTGAACTTGTGCCCATTGTGCACACAGAATTTGTCAGCATCGATCGTTCATTTGCAAAGGCAAATTGTGCTGTCTCTTTTGCAAGCAGCTGCCTTCCCATGTGGCAATGTCTGTGTTTTCAAGTATAAAGACAAGTCCTTCATCAGTTTTTTTTTTCTTAAACCCTATCTGAAGTTGACATTTTATTAATAACTTTTAAGTGGCTATTTTGCAAACCTTCCTTGTGCTACACACTTTCCAAGTTTATTGTAATTTCCTGTCCAGTGGACTGCACTTACTTCCTTTATGTAATATATCAATTGCAGGGCTGGAAATTGTGCAGCTCTGAACTAAAAGAGCAGACCTTCTTGAGGCCAAATGCGGTCACACATTGCCACTGGCAGCAGAATTTGACCTGATAATCTAATCTGTTATGAGAGAGTATCTACAGAAAAGTCTTCTGTCACCAGCAGCAACTGACCTCTGCTAATGAAGCCGGAGCAATTAGTCCTACTCAAAGCTGTCAGGAAAATGTTAACTGCTAGACAGCAGTTAATGCTGAATAACTCAAATAACGAGTGTTTTGTTTGCTCATCTGCATTAGGTGATGTGTTGGGAAATAATTATCCTTTGACTAGCAGCCAGCTTTGTACTAATCAGAAAGGAGAAGTCATGTTCTGTTTGAAGGATTATACCTAAAAATAGTTCTGCTGCAGCCACATCAAGGAGTGAAATGAAGCAAATTCAGAGAGACATCCACACCTTCTTAGTACTTCACTTCTAGTCCTAAAAGCTCGTTGTTCAGCTGAAACTTTTCTGTTTGATCATGTCAGAAGTACTAATGTGATCTCCTGCAATAACGGTACACACGCCCTCCCCGAGGATTATTACCGTATGCACCACTGACTTGCTTTCAGAGTCTGCCAAATTCAAAGGGCCTAAGGAGGAAGTAAATAGTCTTTTTCTGTAGGTAAACAACCATGTATAATGGAAGATAAACAATGTTTGTTCAAATTGTCCCACAGAAGAGACCAATTTGTTTTCTGTTTTCCTTAAGGTTGCTGTTTCTTCCTTCTCATCGCAAAGGAAGGACCATGGAGGCAGCAAGTGCTTTGCTCGTGCAATTCAGCCACTCCAGGCTGTCAGGCTGCGTTAGGAAAAGTAACTGGGATGGGAAAAAAAGATCAAAAAGGTGATGCTGAGAAGCTGGGGCTCTCCTTACAAGCAGCACAAGCAGAGACACTGTGGAAGTTGCCTCTTACTGGAAGAGTCTAACTAGCTGTGATAGGGATGCACCAGGTGGATGCGTTATAGATACACACAGGTGAGAGGAGCAGTGGGATCCTGGCAGCGGCACACGCGGTTGCCCCGCGCAGTGCTCGGTGCCCCGCACTCGCTGCAGCGCAGGCAGCGTGCGCAACGTCCCCGCTAAGCGTGCTGGTTGTACTGGGCCCGCAGCACCCGCTGCGCGTGCTCACAGCGGGACACAGCACCCCGACTGCCCAGGTCTACCTGGTGCCCACTGGGCAGCCCCGGCTGCTCTCTGCTGGTGCTGGTTCACGCTCCAAGTCATGCAGCATTCGGGTGTGTTACATAAAGGCACCATAAACTTCCTGGTTGCGCTCACCGACACCTCCGTGCCCACATCCACCGTGGCCTTGCAGCTATTTGGCTCGGGGCTTTTCAGTGGTGCTGTTTGCAGTAGCACGGAGCTCAGGTTTGCAGCCAGGCCTGGGCAGCAGCTGGATCCAAAAGGTGCCAAAGGTGAGGGAGAGCTCAGCACTCCAAGGGGCTCTCCAAGCAGGTCTGAGAGGGAGAGCTCAGCTCCTCTGGTTAGGGGCTCTCCGAGCAGGCCTGCTGCTCAACTTACCCAACTAGCAGCCCCGCAGCAGGAAAGCACCAAACTCGGAGCAAATGTTTCCTGGCCTCAGCCAGCCACCTGAAAGAGGAAGCAGAAGCTCCGCTAGGCTTCTGCCCTCGCCACAGTTCACAGTGCGATCACACATGCTCTGAGCACATTTTCTCTCCATCAAGTCCTATGTGATATAGCCAGTCCTGCTGTCCCTGGTGAGGCAGAGGGTTTTCTGGCACCTTGGTGCTCCTGCCTTTAGCTGATGACCAGCAATGCACCTGAGCCCAAGGCTTTCTCCAAGCCACGACCTCAGGACTGCTTACCAAAGCTGTGCTGATAATTGTTCTTAAGTTAGCCAGGACAGGGCTTTTAAAGGTGTATTTACGTGAGCATAGTGAAGAGGCAATCTGAGCCGCTAAGGAGCTCTTATGCAGCTAATGGGTGTATAAATATTTCAGCTGCCGAACAAGTCATTTTTCAGGGTAACCTGAGAGTTGCAGCCCCTCCAGAGCCTCTCGCTGTGGAAGAGCTTGTGTGTGTGAGGTGCAAGGCTGGAGGCACAGCAGAACAGCGCGGGACAAAAGATTTGCTATGTGGCCAAAACTGGAGTGCTTTGCAGTCTAAATTTTAAAGTGCTTCTTTTTTAAGAGGAAGAACAAATTTGGGGGTGAAGTTTTCCAAGTATCCATGAAAAGGCTATTTTTGCCCCTTGCTGAGTGATCAGTGAGAGGCAGAGCAATGTCCCCAGTGAGAGCTGAGCAATGTCCCCAGTGCGGGTTGAGCACTGCCCCGGCACAGGGCAGACCCAGCCGCCCCCGGGGATGCGTGGCATCCATCAGTGCCACTCCGCAGAGACAGCGCTGCTGCGGAGCACATGGTGCCCTCAGATGCCCTCCTCTGTCCCCTTTTTTGGAGCACAACACTCTCTCCAGCACCGCTGCCGCCGCCGGCCGCGCTGCCCTGGGCCTCAGCGAGACCTGCCCTGCGGCCCAGAGATCCCTGCCGAGGTCCCGTGGAGGGGAGCTCCTGCCCTGGGCCCTGCCTGTCCCCACACTGCACAGGGCCAGCGCAGACCCCTCTGGGCACAGCACAGGCACCGGGAAGGACCCTTCCCTCCGCTTCACCCTTTCATCGCCGCAGGCCCTGGGCTGGACGTTGCCTCAGCCTGTGGGGACAGTCCGCGCGGCAGCTCGGCCGCAGCGTCATGGGGATCCGGGAAGGGCAAAGTCAGGCTTGGAGCGGCTCTGGGAAGGGCAAAGCCAGGCTTGGACCAGCTCCGGGGTTTTCCTGCCTCAGAGCTCGCTTCCTGCACGTGCCCACTATCCGAAGGCCCCCGGGATGGTTCCTGCCTCCTCCCAGGCCTTCCCTCACAGCGCTGCTCCAGGTGGAGGGGTCATCCACTCCTAGCTGCTCCTCAAGATATGTGCCAGCCTGGTCCTCGTCCCTCCTTCTGAGTTAATGAAGCCACCATTGTGCTCTGGAGGGAGGAGCGCTTCCTCTTGGACAGGAGCAGGTAGATTGGGAGACGTCCCACAAAGCTCCCATTGTTCCCCGGCTAAATCACTGTCTGTGCCCAGCATTCTCGGAGGGATGTTTTGTTTGTCTGCTCTTCCCCTGGCTATTCGCTTGGGAGCCTTCAAGTGCAGTCTCGGGCAGATCACCTACCCGCTGCCTCTGAGAGCACCAGCGTGGGATTTGTCACCGTACCCAGCCCGGCTTGGGACACTGGCTGCAGGAGCATCGCTGATGGCCCGGCTTGAGCCTGGGGTCCCTGCACGGCTGCCTCGCTCCAGGGCAAAGTGCTGCTTGCTGCAGTCACAAACGGGCTAAGAGTCGCCCTGCCCAGCTCACAGGAGAGGAGGCAAGCTAAAAAAAGTGCACTAAAGCACTCTCACCATCAACAGAGGCCAATGTGATTATGTAAAATAATCAGGCGTTTCGGAGCTTTTATGTAATGTTCAGAGCAGGGCAGCGGCTGCTGCAGTAATTGCCGGCAACAACAGGTATTGCAGCAGTGCGTTAAAGGGACCTCAAGGAAACCTGAGGAGCATCCATGGAGGGGCTCGCTGCTGCTCTGCGTGAGCGTGCTCGCTAGCATCATCCTGCCCCTTCAGAAAAAACATCCCCATTTGTTATAAAAAGCCTGATTTCAGCTGAGCGCGTGGGCTGCACGAGTGCTGCTGACGGCGCAGGGAAACGGTGACCGGGAGGAGGACATCTGCTTTGGCTGCAGCCCAGATTCACTCTGCTCGGCTTGATCACAAAACCTCATCTCCGATTTGGGTGCTGCAAAGGTTGAGGTCCAGACCAGCACCTTCTTTCCTGCTACTTCGCGTGACCTGAGTTAGTCCATTAGCCCATCTGAAATGAGGAACAGGACTTGTCATCTAAGCCTGTCCCACCCAGCCACAGTAAGTGGCAGTGAAACAGATGGGGAGGCGCGTGGACCAAGGGGCTGCAGAACCACCCTGAGGCTTCCCATGGCCCAAGCGGAGCCCATGAGCTAGCAGAGTCTCTGGGCAAGTTCAGGGGAGATGAGCACTATTCCCACTATTCCCACTATTCCCACTATTCCCACTATTCCCACTATTCCCACTATTCCTTTCCTGTCTGGACTAAGTGATGAAGCTTCTCAGCTCATGGGAAAAGTGGAAAGAAAAAAAAATAAAATTTTCCACAAGTATTCAGAGTGCCATAG